TTAACAAATCTAAACCCGGCCCGTTACTCGGTTATTGATCTTCGGCTTCGGGTCAGGTTTTATCGACAGGTAATTGGGTCTTCGTCGGGTAAACGGGCAACTCGAATTCTGTAAATTCGAGTTTTACCTCGTCTTCAATTCGGACTAGATCCGTTTCATATGTAAAAAAATAATAATTTCACAATGTAACTAATAATTTATTAACTAAGTTTGAAGATAAAATAACTATAAAAAAATCTATAATTTTAGAAATAAATAACGAGATATAATTATTTATTTTTTATAGTCTAGTTAAGAATATTACATTTAAAACTAAGTATTTAATTCTTTTATTGTACAACTTAAAAAAATTGATAACAAAATAAAAATAAAATTTAATCATTAATCAAATTATAGTAAATAATTAAATTTTAATATTAATAACACATGTCATGACTATTTATATAGCAATGCTTGCGGGTAATCGGGTCGGGTAATGAGTTTTTCTACTATACCCGAACCCGCCCAAATCCCGACCATCCCGGGTTTACCCGACCCAAAAATGCAGGTAACCAGCGGGTTTTATTGGCATGCTTGTATCTAGATATATAATGTGTCTTGATGTCAAACTTCTCCTTGAATCGGATTGGACAGGAGGACTACGAACGGACGTCGAATACTAGCTTCGATGACTACCAAAGCGTCGAGAAGAGGTCTCGGCTAAAACCTTCGACGCTCAATTCAGTATATGCTCATGAGAACCTCAGGGTTAGGAAAGAGATCTTCTTTTATCAACTTTTTAAACCTACCACGTCTTTAAAATATCATACTCTTTATCAAGATACACTTTCTACCCAAAATGGATTTTTTTCCTCTTACCATACGACTCTTAAGTAGAGCTGTCAAAACGGACCAGCGGGACGGGCTGGCCCATAGCCAGCCAAAGCACGCCAATTGGCCGGACGGGGAGGGTTGGCCGCCATCCTGACGACCCTACAAAATGCAGGCCCAACCCATAGAACGAGTTCAAATAAACTCAAAACAAGACATAAAAAAGATACACAAAAATACTAACAAAAATATACAAAACAATGACGACAATGGAGGTGAAAGGCTTGTGTTATGATCAATAGATTCTTTTAACATTTTTCTCATTGTTTTTTGTTTTGAAATATCATATCTTTTTTTTTTGGGTACATAAGATGGAGGCTAATGCCTAAGGGACCTCTAAACGGTAATATTCCGTGGTCGAGGGACGCCAACAACGTCGTGGAGGAGCCACGACTTAACCTCTAGAGGCGGTTCAAACAATCTCTGGCAACCTACAGGGCACGTGTGGGCTAGGTTCGCCAAGCAATCTGCCGCATAATTAGCTTCACGAAAGCAATGGAACACCTTCACTGACCACTCCCAAGCAATCTTCGAAATATCATATCTTTATTATGATGTAAAAGGGAGGATGGAGAGTATATGAGGTTCTGGAGTTGGGGCACCGAAAATGTGTCTCACTGCTAATATATATAATGGCAACTCTTGTAATTTTTTTGTGGTAAAGGGGCAGTTTAGTCTTTCATAGTATAATTTAAGGGCGACATCGTAATTTTAAAAGAATGCAAAAGGCAGATCAATTTTATCAGAGGTTCTGGGCCCAAATAATACAATCTGTTAAAATTAAGATTTGGTCAGTTTAGGGAACATGCCCAAGTTTTATCAACAAACTTTAATCCAGGAAAATAACAAAAGATAAGCCTAGATAGCTGCGGCTAATTTACATACATGCTTTAATGATTGCTAAAATATTGCATAAATACGAAATTAAACCTTAATTGCTATATGACCTAACTTAACATAAATATCTACATAAATGCTAGAAATTAGTAACTGACCATTAACATAGCAGTCAACCCTCTCTCTCCCTTCATCTGTGGCCATTTGTGTTCCTCCAAACAACAAACCCTTCCGAGTCTCATGGCGCTGCCGTCATACATCATCTTCCTAAATCTCCATAAAATCATCAATTGTTTTTTTTTTTTCTTAATTATAAAAACTCAAGAAAGCATAAAGAGAACATAAACATGAGAAGACTGATGGTCGAAAAGGTCGCCGCCGCGAGAAACACCCCCGTCGCATAACTCTTCCCTTCGATCAAGCATTCCCTAATGGTCGTACGTATATGTATAGTTGTAATATATTTCTCTGTATTTTCATGCTTTTTTGTGTCGTTAATTTAGGTCCTTCTGTTTGTAATTTCATCCTTTGAAAGTGAATTGAAAATTTGCAATGAAACATAGGTTTATCGTTAAACTGCAACCTAATTGTCTATGTACTTAATTTTTCTCCTTTTTTTTTTCGATGGGCCGGAGACCGACAACCTAGGGTCTGGAGGACTTCGGCGCGGGTTGGCGGATTAGTGGATTGGAAGACCCGCCAGCGTCAAGGAGACCATCAAATTGAGAAGGTTGATGCTAGGAGTGGATTGTTCCGATATGATTATTTCAATATTTATTTATAGTTTATGTTTTGGTATATATGTAGTATATTTTCTGAATTTTTTTCGCTCTGACATTTATATTTTTTTTTTT